ATAAAACCCCTGAAAAAGGGTTTAAAACTCACCCCAGACGCTCGCTCGCACACCCAAGCGCATGCAAACAAACCGCAACGCCGCCCTGGTGGCCACGCCGGGAAACCGGCAGAAGAAAATGGCCACCAGAACAGAGGGCTGTGACCGACGCAATAGATACGAAAACACGCCAACAAAAGTGGGAAGCAAGCAGACTGGATGGGTGAAAAACTCCGCCCAAAAGTAGAAAACCCAGGCAGGGGCAAACCGCCCCAGAACTGCTAGCAGGCATCCCCCACAGCCCCGAGAACCAGCAACAGAGGCCCCTGGGCAGAGCCGTCCTCCGAGCCCTCCGCCCTTAAAAAAAGTAAGAGTCCATGGGAAAGGCAGCAAGAAAGGGCCGCTGGTAAGACCCAGAAGCCTTACCAGGAGGAACAGGCTCGAACAGCACCTAACCAAAACGGGGCGGCCTTGGGGCATCAGAGTGGGAAACCAACCTAGCGTGTTGCAGCAACCTAACCTAGTTTGCAACGCGGATGCCGCTTGTACTCTGAACAATAATAACATCAGGAGAGTACTGGAGAACAAGCAGAGAAACTCTCTCACAGGACTCAGGGTCAAGGTGTCAGTGACCCAACAGGCAACAGGATGGAGGTAAAAGTGGAGACTGTCACCCGGAGACAAGGGCACAGCAACCAACGATCCCGTACAAGACGGGTTGGAACCCGGAAGACACATTCAATGGTCCACCGAGCCCAGACAGGGGTTTCCAGGGCCTGTAGGCTGACTGCTACAGAAAGCCCGGGCAAGGTGTTGCTAACCGGTTAAGAAACCCAAAAATAACAAGAGGGTAGAGGATAACACTGACAACCCCTGCGACGTGTACAATCACGGGGGCCTAGCAGAGGGCCACCAAACACTACCAGTGGAACTATAGCCACACTAGGCAGACCCCCACCAGACAAATGAAAATAAAAACAAGAAAATCCCCGCAAAAGTACACCGTCTCCAGAGGCAACAGGAACCGGTCGCCACTTAGGTGGCAGGTCGGGCAACACCTTGACGCCCTAACCAGCACAATACCAGTCCCTACCCAGGGCCAAACAAGGGCCCCCAGCCCCAGCTGGTCCCAAGGGTGAGGCAAATGCTGAGCAGCAAGAACCTCTACGGGAATGGTTCCCAAACACTCCAGGGAAGATAACCCTGTCACGCAAGGGGAGTACTCACAGGGCGCTTAGGGAAGGAAGCCCCTAAGCGCATACAGCCTCGGCGCTGATGAGGTACTCCTGGCCACCGCACAACACAACACATGGCAGTGAACACCACACAAGGCAAACACCACCTAAGAAACTGAGGCCAGAGAAGCGTCTATCCCGGTTGACATTAGCTTACGAACTGAAGCTAGGCAGCCGGCGCGGTAGGTCCGGGGCTCCCCCCTCCCCCTCTTAGGGCGGGGAGGGCTGCGCAGACGATCGGCGCGGCAGTAAATTGTGATGTTTGCTTGTTTCCTTGGGATTGTAGGAGTTTCTACCTCTGTTTGGTTTTTTGTTTTAGTTTTTTTACCACGTGGGATTTGTTTTGTTATACCTACCTTTCTGGGTGCCTAACCTCGGTTGATGGCAGATAAGGAAAACCCCAACCACAAGGGGGTTTTCCAGGGCCATTTCTCCCTGAAACCTCTCTGAAGAGGCCAGGTTCTCGCGCTGGTCCCTGGTAGGTCTGAACTCCTTGGCTAATGTCCCGGTCTAATATAACATACATTAGCCCGATAACCTCCAGGGAGCCGTAGGGGCTCCCCACAGAAAATGAAATCAATATATATAGGAAGAGGCCAAACCCCCAAACATACTAGCGATACAAAGATGCGAGAAACAACTACACTGCAGTAAGGAGAGGGGGGCAGAATTTTTTTTTCAGAAAGGGATTGTGGACAAATGTAAAACAGAACCAGGCCTATTTTATAAATTCATGAACAACAAATTGCAGGTAAAGGATAATATTTAAGAGGATGAAAATGGGAAACATTCATGGCAAATGAAAAGGAAATGTGTGAAACATTAAGCGAAAAGTTTCAGAGTGTATTTGTACAAAATGAAATCTTCAGGGAACCACACACAATAAGAATTCCAGAACAAAAATATAGAGCACATTGAGGTGTCTAGAGACGAAGTGAAAATAGTGCTCAAGGAGCCAAGCAAACAAAGCCAACAAAGCAGTTGGCCCAGATGGAGTTTCGCCATAGGTTCTGAGAGAATGTGCATCTGAGCTCAGCATTCCACTTCAACTGATTTTTCAAGCATTCCTGAGTACAGGAGTCGTAGCAGATGTGTGGAAAAAGGCTAACATAGTTCCAATCTACAAAAGTGGCAGCAGGGAAGCCCCCCCCACCCCCACTCAATTATAGACCTGTATCATTGACAAGTGTAATAGGCAACAAACTGGAAAAAATAATTAAAACTAAATGGGTAGAATACCTGGAGAAAAACTATATAATATCAGAGTCAGTATGGTTTTCAATCTGGAAAATCCTGTATAACAAATTTACTCAGTTTCTATGATCGAGCCACAAAGATTTTACAGGAAAGAGATGGTTGGGTTGACTGCATTTATCTCGACATAAAAAAGGCTTTCGACAGAGTTCTAGATAAGATGGTGTTCTGGAAACGAACATATTGGAGGTATGGTAAGCTTCTAACTTGGATGAAAACTTTTCTGATAGAGAAATGATGGCAATAATCAGAGGCAATGTATCAGACTGGAGAAATGTCACTGTTACGGACCCGAGCCCAGCGTCCGAGCACGGAGCAGTGACGACCGCGCCATCTGTGGGTCAGCTCCCGAAACCCCCTCCAAATGGACGACGCCATCTAATGAGGACGAGATATACCGGCCACAGGGGCTGGTTTCCCGTCCTGATCAGCTCATAACATAGCCGCTGCTGACCTCTGGTGAGGTGACTCTTAGACAGCAACGCCATCTATGGAGTGGATAGGTGGGCGTTTGCGTCTAAGCCTGTAAGTGAGGTGCCCTAGAGTGTAACTAGTACTGATGACGTGTCTGATTACAGAGTCGACCTGGGACTGCTGTAGTGGACGTTGGAGCAGTCTACACAAGGCAGCCGTAGAACCTCCACGCATTTGCTGCTGAAGCTGTGAGTCACCCCCCCGGATGAACACTGTTGTGTTAGCCTGCCTGTGAGGTGGCAGAACCAGGGATTGTCGTGCCCGGGGCTGACTGGTGGAGAAGACTAGCCACTGGGGTATTGTGGTGAGGAGAGTGATCTGTGAAATCACACGAGGCTCCTGCCTAGGGCTCACAACCCTAGTGTCGGTCGTGGAGTGGCCTACGCAGCGTAGCTGATTGGAACCTGCCAGCTACAGGCTGGATTTGTGGTTGAAGGCCTCCACGACGGTGCCCCCAGTGGAACTGTGATTTGGCTGGCCTGTGGCCAGGGTAGACTAGAGAGAATCGAAGGATTCAACGTGAGGCCAGGAAGAGGATCAAGGGCTAAGCATCGTTGAGCACCGTGGGGCATCCCGTGTCTTCGAAGAAGAAGTTATTGTAAATAAGTGTAGTAATAGCAACCCCGCTTGTGACTTTATATATTTATTTATTGGTGGTGGTTAATATATATACATAAACCAGAGTAATTGTATCCCTTCCCCTTTAATTTACTTGCGTTACGGATCACATCCCTTGAAAGCTACTACTAGCTTGGGGCCGGATACCCAAACTCTACTAACAACAGAGAAAGAACCCAGTTGTGACCCAATAGGGCCGTAACAGTCACAAGTGGAGTACCACAGGGCTCAGTTCTTGCACCGCTAATGTTCGTTTTCTACACAAACGATCTACCAAATGGAATACAGAATTATATGAACATATTTGCTGAGAATGCTAAGGTAATAGGGAAGATAAGAAACTTAGATTATTGTCATGTCCTTCAAGAAGACCTGGACAAAATAAAGCATATGGTGTACCACTTGGCAAATGGAATTTAATGTGAATAAAAGCCATGTTATGGAATGTGGAATAGGAGAACATAGACCCCACACAACCTATAAATTATGCGAGAAATCTTTTAAAGAATTCTGATAAAAAAAGACCTAGGGGTGGTTCTAGATAGAAAACTATCACCTGAGGACCATAAAGAACATTAGGCGAGGAGCCTATGCTACGCTTTCTAACTTCAGAATTGCTTTTAAATACATGGATGGCGATATACTAAAGAAATTGTTCATGACTTTTGGTAGACCAAGGCTAGAATATACAGTGGTTGTATGGTGCCCATATCTTAGGACCTGATAAACAAACTGGAAAAGGTGCAAAGACATGCCACTAAGTGGCTCCCAGAACTGAAAGACAAGAGCTACAAGGAGAGAAGAATTCCCGAGACCTGGAACTTCAAGGACAAGAGGCGATAGATTTAAACTAACTAAACAAAGCTGGCAAAGATATATTAAAAAAAATCCCTTTCGCAAACAGTGGTAGACGGTTAGAACAAGTTAGGTGAGAAGGTGGTAGAAGCCAAAACTATCAGTCAAAGCATTATATGACAAAGAGTGGTGGGAAGACAGGACACCACGAGCATAGCTCTCATCCTGTAACTACACTTAAGTAACTACACTTGGGTAATTACAGGTGGAAACATGAAGTAGAGAAGTATAAAGAAATAATCCTATGCAGTGAGATCTGGAAACAAATAGAAGAAATTTGAGCCAGTTGTGATCGAGAGAACTGCCATTCACAGAACAGCACTGGAATGCCACAAAGGATTAATGTCACGTACATTAACTGAGGTGGGGCTCTAGAGCTAGATCTAGCTCCCAATAGGTAACTAGGTAAGCACACAACTACTGGTAGGTAAGCATACAAAAGATGAGAATCATTAATCTAAATACTCTGTACAATACTCTTGATAATTTAGTGATGGTTTGATTAGTGCCATTTATCCAAGATTTTCCAGCAATTCTTTTCAGCCCAAGCACTTTTAAGGCCACCTGTCCCACCCAGCCTCTCACCTGTTCCACCAAGCCCACGTATCTATGTCAAATCCATCTTCGCTAGTTTTTTTATCCGAGCGATGCTGGGCCGCAATTTCCTCTGGTGCCTGCATTGGAACTCTCACCCATACCTGTAAAGTTATCAGAACTCATTAATCTGAGGATCTTTTATATAGCATGCATAATACAGCTGAGGCTTACAGTGAAAAAGGTCACAGGTGGTGTGAGGCTTTGGCAAGGCAGCAAACAAATACTACTGTAAACAATCACACCTTATCACTTAGGAACATTTTACATTCAAACTACTACACTGTAAATGGCAAACAAAAGCTTTTAATTTGTACACCTTAAAGGGGCTAGGAGACTGATTTCTCAACTTTCCTCAAACACTTTTTTGTGCATAATCTACATGGTAAAAGCTCCAACAATAATGGCTCAATTTCATAACGTGAACAGGAAACAAAAATAAAAACTTATTTAAAAAAATTGAAAATTACACAATTTCAAATTAAGCTGACGAATTTAATATTTCACCAATTTTTATTTTGTTCGTTATGGGCTTGAGGTTATCTTGAAGTTATCTCGAGATGATTTCGGGCTTTAATGTCCCCGCGGCTTGGTCCTCGACCAGGCCTCCACCCCCAGGAAGCAACCCGTGACAGCTGACTAACACCCAGGTACCTATTTTACTGCTAGGTAACAGAGGCATAGGGTGAAAGAAACTCTGCCCATTGTTTCTCGCCGGCGCCCGGGATTGAACCCGGGACCACAGGATCACAAGTCCAGTGTGCTGTCCGCTCCCGGCTCCAACCGGGCTCAGAACGTAATAAAATATAGTCACTTTGGCCTTCAAAATATGTGCAAAATTTAGACGTAAAAATTTGTAGCTCTCAGTTATACATTTATGAATAAACGCAATTGAAGAAACCTTAGAACTAAGAACTTTCCACATAATATGTAAAAATGATGAGAATTGCTCAGAAACTGAATTTAACAGTTTGTCTCAAAGTTAAAAATCCTGTTCAGAGAAAAATGAAGGTAAACTTCTCGACAATAAATACAGTACAGTAGTTCAAATATATGTCATATGTGTTGAAATAAAGTTCAAAATAATCCCCCCTCCAAAAAAAAAATATATATATAAAGGGATAGATAATAATTATACTTTTAATGAGTGATAAGACCACCATCTGGTCTCCATTCTTCAATACAACTTAAAGAGACAAAGAGAATACAGTTTGAAATCTGTAAATATGTTGTCAAAAAGTCACAATTTCTGCCACCTGTAACTGATTAACTTCCTGACCAATTTCGTTCACCCTTCCCATATATATAGTGATTGTAATTATAAACAAAGGAGGAAGAGAGAAAAAAAGAAACTATGTACCTGGGGTGGCCAGGTACAGAGTGGGGTACAGTCAGATACAGACTGTATAGCCAGGTACAGAATTCCACGCCAGCAACCCTTTCCCTCGATGGGATGGCCAAGTGTAGTCTCTCCTAGGCCAGAAAAACTGTAAACCCTAATACTGGGTAATTCAAAACACACTAAATTTTAACTAAGCATAATAATAATTTGAAAAAGCAATGGCAACTTTCATAATGTAAACATACCTGATAACATACACCTTGGACAACTCTGTTGTGAATGATTCTTGCGATATTCGTACACCTCTCTGTCGAGAGAGAGAACATTACTGCAGGAAGCCCCAAATGGGCAGCAAAGGTAAGTTCTTGTGTGATAGTTTCTTCACTGTTATGACGTAGGCTGTTAACTGGGGACTCCAAATTCAGGATGGCAGTTGGGCTAATGCGGCCCACAATCAGGCTATTCCATTCTGTAATTTATAAATTAATAAAAGGTATCAAATAAAAAGTTAGAAAAATAATATAGTATAAACAGTTTCCACAATTTTCTGCATGGTTCTTACAAAAAAAAAAAAGAACTATATACACACATTATATATTAGTATCTACATTTTTGCTCACCATAGTGAACCACTAAGTTGGAATGGCGAGTCCAAAAAGCAAGAGTGGGCTGCCACACCTAGCCAGCCCTTCTGCACTCCAACACCTAACTCGCCAACATTCCTCCTCCCACAATACTGTTCGTGGTTTTATTACACTATATACACATGTTATATATACGTATCTACATGTTTTGTTCACCATAACCGTACAACTAAGCTGGTATGGTGTCCAAACAACATTGTTGCAACAAAAAATTGCATGACATGTCACACAGCAGCCAGCAGACGAAGCTAAGAGACGGCGCCACTTTTCCCTCCCTTCTCACCAAGATTACTCCTACCACCATACTACTCACATCTCTAATTCTCACCACAATCCTGCTATTATCAGAATCCTGGTCGCTAAATCTTGCAAATGAATAATTTTCCACAAGTTTATTTTGTAAAGGAACACGAGAAGTCATTTGAAGAATCTTAGATGGACGAAATAATGGCAGTGTGCTGTGGCTAGTGCTGTCAACAGCTCTGAATCTCTGATATCTGAACATTGTACACAGTCTTTATAACAGTCAGGCTCTTCTGTAATACTATCATGGCTAAATAATACCAGTTACATACATATTTTGACATTTTTAGGCAATGCTGTGGTCATAAGCTGAACAGCAGTGCTGTTAGTTCATGCTGCGTGCACCAGCCTTGGTAACTCACTCAGTACTGAGGCCCCTCACACCTGGGGAATGTTGCCCATGATTAAATAAAAAAAAGCGTCTATTTACGAGAGCCCTGAGGAAGCCGATGTGAACCCCATGTAGCTGCGGGAGTTTTGAGTGCTACGCTGTACAGTACCTATGAGTGCCCTCATAGGTACTGAGGCCCGCCATGAGGCATTCTGCGCACCACCGGTCTAGTGCCTCAACACGCTTTGCACAGTGCAGTGGTTAATAGCTAGAGGAGGAACAAATAAATCTAACTTTAAAATCAGTAAAGTTAACAGCAATGCATACCTGAACTGCTAAGGAGTAAATCCGAGCGAGTGAAGGCTCCAGACCGCTTCTTAGCTTTGCCTTCCACATGCTCTCTAGTGAATCTTGGGTGAGCAAGAGGAACAGATATAAAGTCATATCTGAAAACAGAAAAATGTGGTTAAAAATACCATACAAACATTTGGCAAAGCCACAGAAACCAAATGTTGGAGTTTTTCAACATACTGTACTGTACTTGTAACCATGTGCACTGTGCTTGTAACCATGTACACATCACAAATGCTTATACAGTATTCCTGTAACACACAATCAGATCACAACATACGCAAAGCGACAAGTCAGCGAGATGCAATTTACGTAGACTCAGCAGCCTGTACGCCTTTGTATCCATAGGGCTATCTTGGGCTACATTTCTCAGGAGCAAGTGAGGTGCAATATAGTAATATTATATGCAATGGCACTTTAAAAATCCAGATCTCCCTTCTCTCCCAGATTCTATTTCTTCCCCTATTTTTGTTATTCTTGAGGTGTAACAATAAATATAATTCCAAACAAAACAAAACTACTGCAGTTGCACGAGAACTAAACAATAGGTGGAACCATCAGGCATGCTGAATATTGCATAATCAGACTCTGAAGTGGGCAATTCATGATGATGCAATCAGCATAGGGGTTTAGAAGGCTGCACAAAGCATAGCATCACACACCAGCTAACAAACTCCGCACCCCATAACCACCCACATGAGCTGGAACCAGGCACAACCTCTGCACATAACTACATACTGTACTATTCTCCCTGTCAACATGCTTTGTGTGGCAACCAAATACAACAACACAACCTGATGCAAGAGTCTCTTTAAATGGAGAAATTTGACTCCTTTCAGTAGACAGTTCTGGTGATAAAGTTGTTGTCGACAGCACACAGGATGGTCACCCTCAGATATAAAGATCCAAACAGTTAACTAGGTACAAGACACCAGAGAGGGGTGCCTGGGGGTGGGCTGGGTCGCAACCATGTGGTGAAAGGGAGCAGGAGGGGGTCTTCGTGTGGAGTTTGGGCGTCTTGTGAAATTTTCACTTTTTATGGGTGGCTCACATCGAGATTAGATGATCTTTCTCAGTGGGCAAGATCAGGCACTGGCTAGTCTGACTAGTAATGGCCAGCACTTAAACAAAGGAAAGCTAATGAAGGGGATCTTGCAGAATGCTACCATATAGATATACTGTACTGTATAGAGTGTAAATTTGTCATACCATGTTGTTTGAATCTGGTAAGAATTTGACAAATGAGTCAAGTCAGACAGGAGTTTGAGTGTTGTTTGGCCCTCAGACTGCCATTCACAACAGTTGGTGCAAGGTGAGCTCAGCAATCGGAACCGCCAGCTCCACTAGACCAAGGCAATGTTAACCTAGGTCATCAAGGTAGTCAGTCTCGGCTCACAGTCTACTGCGATGTACTCCAGTAAGAGCTTCACCTCGTCTTTAATGTAACCTCATGACACTTGAATGAGTCGTTTCTCACTAGACATGGAGAATTTTAAACCCTGGAGGAAGTCTCATTAAAAATTGCTGTGCAAGATAGGATTATGGTATGGTCAACAGTTACTCAAAGTTTTAGTGTAGATATTATATTTATGTGTAAAATATACCTACTGTATGTTCGACGTTTATGCAGTCAAGACAGGTTTTTGTACTCTTTAGATTGAAAGAAAGTGTGCCCCAAGAACCTGCTTATACTGTAGTGTAAATAGACAGGCTCCCGAGTGTAGTTACGGGAGAAGAGCTACGCTCGCGGTGTCCGTCTTCCCAGTATTCTTTGGCGTATAACTCTTTGAAATTACTACCGACAATTTTTGCCTCCATTTTCTCACTTAAACATGTTCCAACCGTCTACCACTGTTTTTGCAAAAGAAACTTTTTTCAACACCATTATTTTCTTAGCTTGAATATGTGTCATCTGTTCTTGAAGTTGATGGTTTTAGGAATTCCTCTATGTCAATTTGGTAGATTTGTTATTATTTTGTTAGTGATCACATCACCTCTTTTCCTATTATTTTTCTAGCTTTGGTGTATTTAAGTCTCTAGCCTTTTCTTGTAACTCTTGTTTTTCAGTTCTAGAAGCCATTTTGTTGGATGCCTTTGACGGCTGAGTAGACTACGCTCGGGATTCGTAGTCCTAAGGTCCGGGGATCGATCCCAGCAGAGGTGGAAACAAATGGGCAGTTTCTTTCACCCTGATGCTCCTGTTCATCTAGCAGTAAATAGGTATCTGGGAGTTAGACAGCTGCTAAGGGTTGCTTCCTGAGAGGGGGAAGGAAATCAGTTGATTGACAGTCGAGAGGCAGGCCCAAAGAGCCAGAGCCCAACCCCCGCAAGCACAACTAGGCGAGTACACTTTGTACACCACGTTATACCTGGGCCCCCTTACATATTGTGGTTATTACTGATCTAAATACACATTGCATTTAGAGGTCACTGTCGTGTCATTTTTACAGAAAAACTTTTCTTGCGATAGATACCCTCAGTGTTTCCTTGCAGGTATTATTTCTATTTTGCAAGTCCGATTTTAATACCAATAACTTACGTTTAGTGGCTGGACATTGGCGACTTTACCCCATGGCTGCCAAAGGAAGCTGCAGTTACTTTGTAGTCCACTAATTAGAATCTTCAACAAAACGTTAAGAGACTGGAGCACTCCTGGGACTCTGGAAAATGCCAAATGTAATACTGATCTTCAAAGAAAGAGAATCGTCAGAAAGCCATAAATTACAGACCGGTCTCACTATCATTCATCCTATGCAAAGTACTGGGGGAAAAAAAATCAAGGAGCAGTTGGCGCAGCACCTGGAAAGGATTAAATTTGCAACTAAATTTCAACTCTCAGAAGTTGATAATAATGAAGATGGGGAAAACAAAAAGCAGACTGGAAGGAAACTATACACCAGAAGAGGTAGGCAACTACATGTATCAGAATGAGGTAAAGACATGGGAGCAAACATTACACTCAAAAATGCACATAAAAAGTATATCAGCAGCAGCATATGGAAAACTGGCAAATAAGAACAGAATTTAAAATCTTAAAACACCAAAACTTTCAATACCAGAGGCAATTTGAGCACTAAGGTAAAGTCACCTGTATCCAGATGGTCGGCGTACATCATTGCTAATAAAAATCTATACGATTGCATCAGTCCATGTAACAAAGCTACAAAATGCCAGGAATGCTTTAAATATACAAATATGAACTACAGTACTATATTTTCTATGATTCATTGCATTGTTCATACATAACATATAATGGTAACTTATGTTATACAATTTATGGGGTTATACAGTATTTGATTCTCTTATTTTCTGGCAGATTTATAAGCTGTAGGATGACAAGGGTTGACAGCTAAAAGCATCATTTTGGGTAATATACAATACAGTACTGTATGTTCATACACATGCACCAAATTCAGCTCTTTACCAACATTGGCTGTCAAAATGAATTACAGTGTGAACTCGCTATGACAAACTATATGGAGCAAAGCCAAGTCATTCCATAATGGATTTCATTTGACCCTTTAAATTTCTGGCAACCATTCCCCACCCCACCTTATGGTCAAAAAAATATATGAACACTGTGGGTTTACATCCACTAGTACTGCAAAAGCAGGTTTCACTTGCTGCACCAGGAGAATGGTGTAATGAAATATCATCATAATAACCTTCAAGCATATTTAGGTAAGTACCTTACATTCTGATTACCTTTACATGATTCCAAGGATCATCTAAGTCCCAACAGCCCAGTCTCTAACCAGGCCTCTTGGTTGGTAGTCTGGTCAACATGATTTTTAGACGTGGCTTCTTGCTGCTCGACGTTCGAGTAACAGCGTGGTTGATCAGAACAAATCTATCACAACCCATCTTACACCAACACTACGGTAAAACAAAGAATCACCAAAAATTTATTTATTATCCGAGGAACCCAAGGGCACTCCGGAAACGAACCTGGGGAAGAGCCCTACCCATTGCATTTGCCGGCGGATAAGATACACAATGTTAATTACTTTTTTTTTTTTTACAAAACATCCAAGCAAAAGATAGAGGCGTCCAACGCGACAGTGCGTAAATCATGCTGGCAAACTCGATACACTCGACATCCTCTCTTCTGGACACATTGGGCCCAACTGTGATTGGGTATGTAGTCATGTCTGGATAAGTAGTCAAATTCCCCCAGGTCCAAAAATAATAATTTTATGTTCAAAAGTATGTAACAATATATTATTGTTTCACTAGATATTTTAAACAAAAGTTAGAAGTATCTAGTGAATAGTATCTAGTGAATAGTATCTAGTTTGAAGTTTGAAATATATTGAAGTTTGATCACTTAGGGATTATATGAAATTTTTTTCCAGATTCAGTCTAGTGACTAAGTACATAAGTTTTACACTGCAATAAAATGGTTATAATGAGTAATAGGATACAAATGTATTCTACATGTTTATGCTATTGTAATTACTCTATGTAGAAAATAGGTAAAATGCCCATTTGCCTTGAAACCAGCACTTGGGGTATCCTGAGATAGGGCAGGAGACCAATAATGACAGAAATGAGTGGCATTTTCAATGGGTGGTATTTTAAATACTGTAAGTATTTTGTCTCAATGTGATAGTGTGCCTTCAGCTGAACAAATCTTTGTTGGTGATGAAGCAGACAAGTTGACTCATTTTGCAGTTACCAGAGAAGGTTATTAAACAAATAAAAAGACAAGCCATACAAATCTACAGGATCAGACAAAGTATTTTTTAGTGTACTTAAAGAATGTAAAGAAGGGCTTTGTCCTGCATATTTAATACAGTTGTCAAGTAAAGTATAGAAGATATGGAGGTTTGCAGAAGTGTTGTTAGTTTATAGGAAGGGAGAGGAGTCATTTGTCATGCTGCCCAATATACACCTTCCGCAAGGTGTTATTGGGAAAACATTCACACAGCTCCACCTCACCAATAACAAGTCCCTCGAGCCTCAAGACCCAGTTTTATAAAAAACAAGAAAATAACAAAAGAGCCCACCCAGTGAGCACCATATACTCTGAATACATCAAATTCAAATGTTGGGAAGAGTGGCTGGGGCCGCCTCGCTCCCCTACACCACACTTTAACACCTACCCAGCTCTTGACGAGTCGTGGAGGCTGTCGTGTAGCTCGTAAACATTGGGATATTCCAAGCCACATGAGACACGAGTGCCCGCCATGACTGTAAACAACAACCTGAAGCTCGCCAACTAGGTATTTCCTTATTGATTCTGGGAATGGAGGTGATGTAAACGAGTCTTTCCAGTATAAGTTGCCGCTCACGTTGCGCGCGGTAAATCTTCCTAGATCTTCGTCGAGATTCTATTTCTAATAAATGAATTTCGCCTTCGTTACTCATTTCTACTAGTATGTTTTATATATATATTAATATTTTTATTTATAAATAATTTAAATATTACGTGTTCGACATAGGCTATCAGTGATATCGCATAAATACTTGAGGAGAAAATTTTCCTTATAATGTACTTAAATGTTGTCAGGAGCTTTGTTGTGCTTGTAATAAACATTGAGTGTTTATGATTTATGTAATATTTACAATTATGTTAGTTTGATACATAGGCTTAGCTTTATAGTGTTATTATTTTACATTAGGCATAATTTAAAAATTGAATTTCATCAGATATTGTATTATAATAGGAGTAATATATAGGCCACCAAATTTAGACAGAATGGAAGCAAAGCATCTATGGGATGAAATATCTAGAGCATCTAGATCTAACAGTATTTATGTCATGGGTGACTTTAATTTTAGCGGAATAAACTGGTTGAACAAAACAGGGAATAGTGAAGCAGAAGATTTTCTAGAATTAATTGACGATTGCTTTCTTACGCAACACATTAAGGAACCAACACGGGAAAATAATATTTTAGATTTAGTGTTAACTAACAGGGAAACGCAAATTAATGACATCGAAATAGGGAGTGAGCTAGGGAGCAGTGATCACAAAGAAATCAGATTTAGCATAGAATGGAATAGACCAGTAGGAGAAAATTCTGTTAAAGTGCCAGATTTTCGAAAAGCTGATTTTAATAGCCTAAGAAATTTTTAGGGTCAAATTGATTGGAAAGGCTTGGGTATGGGGTGTGGGCCGGTCTTGGAGCGAGACATGAACCCAGCGATAGGTGACTTAAATGGGGATTTCGATGTGGATTCAATATATAACTTATTTAAGAATATTCTAAACAAAGCACAGGAACGTAGTATACCATACAAATTGAATAGATCGTATACTAATAACCCAAAGTGGATAACAAAGAATTTGAAGAACCTTATAGGTAAAAAGAGAGCTTGGTACAAAAGGATTAAAAATGGGGAGGTCACTTTAGAACAGGAATTCGTACAACTGGTTAGAAATGTTAAAAAAGAGATAAGGAAAGCAAAAAGAAACTATGAAGTTCGCATAGCAGGGCAAGCAAAGACAAATCCTAAAGGGTTTTTTCAGTTATATCGTACTAAGACTAGGGAAAGGATAGGTCCATTAAAAACTGAGACAGGTCAAATAACAGATAGTGATGAAGAGATGAGTAGTATTTTTAATAAATATTTTGTATCTGTATTTACTAAAGAGGAACTTAACAATATGCCTTCAGCCGAACAAGTCTATGTGGGTGGGGACGAGGACAGGTTGACAAGTTTAGCAGTTACCAGGGAGGATGTTCTTAAACAAATAGTAAAACTCAAACCAAACAAATCCCCAGGGCCGGATGAAGTGTTTGCCAGGGTGCTTAAAGAATGCAAAGAGGAGCTTTGTGACCCACTGTCAACCATATTTAATAAATCAATAGAGTCAGGCAGAGTGCCAGAGTTTTGGAAAGTTGCTAATGTGATACCAGTTTTTAAGAAAGGAGATAGATCACTTGCGTCTAACTATCGACCAATTAGCCTAACGTCTATTGTGGGAAAGTTACTCGAATCTATAATAGCAAATAAAATTCGTCTTCATCTTGAAAAACATAAATTAATAATTGAGTCGCAACATGGTTTTATAAATGGCCGTTCATGTTTAACAAATTTGTTATCTTTTTATTCTAGCATTGTTGAGGCAGTTGATAGTGGTAAGGATTGCGATGTTGTATACCTTGACTTTAGCAAAGCTTTTGATACAGTGCCACATGAAAGACTGATTAAAAAAATAGAGTCTCATGGTATTGGGGGTGCTATATTAAGCTGGATTAGGGCATGGCTATACCAAAGGAAACAGAGAGTTAGTATAAATGGAATCAAGTCAGAGTGGGAAAATGTTGTAAGTGGAGTGCCTCAAGGCTCTGTCCTGGGACCTCTGTTGTTTATAATATATATAAATGATTTAGATTCAGGTTTGAGTAGCAACATTTGCAAATTTGCCGATGATACGAAAATCGGTAGGGAAATTAATTCGGAGGAGGACTCACTATCACTTCAAGTTGATCTAGATAGGGTTTTGAAATGGTCAAAGGATTGGCAGATGCAGTTTAATGCTGATAAATGTAAAGTTCTGAGGTTAGGTAATGATGATAGAGTTACAAGATACGAGCTAGATGGTGTTGTGATTGCGAAGTCGGATTGCGAAAGGGATCTGGGAGTTATGATTAGTAAGAATTTAAAACAAAAGGATCAATGCATAAATGTTCGTAATAAGGCAAATCGGACACTTGGATTTATTAATCGCAGCGTTAGTAACAAGACACCTGGTGTGGTTCTCAAGCTATATCTTGCTCTAGTTAGGCCCCATTTAGATTATGCAGTTCAGTTTTGGTCGCCATATTATAGAATGGATATAAATTCACTTGAACGTGTCCAGCGTAGGATGACTAAGTTAATTCCCCAAATTAGAAATCTTTCATATGAAGAAAGATTAACAAAGCTTAAGTTGCATTCACTGGAAAGGCGAAGAGTTAGGGGTGACATGATAGAGGTTTACAAGTGGATGAATGGACATAACCGGGGGGATATTAATAGGGTATTAAAAGTATCAACACAGGACAGAACACGAAACAATGGATATAAATTGGATAAGTTTAGATTTAGGAAAGACTTGGGTAAATACTGGTTCAGTAACAGGGTTGTTGATTTGTGGAACCAATTGCCGCGTAACATTGTGGAGGTGGGGTCCCTCGATTGTTTCAAGCACGGGTTGGACAAGTATATGAGTGGGATTGGGTGGTTATAGAATAGGAGCTGCCTCGTATGGGCCAATAGGCCTTCTGCAGTTACCTTTGTTCTTATGTTCTTATGTTCTTATATTTTTTTGTATCGCATACTAATAATGTATTTGAACTATCACAAATAATTCCCCTGCATATAACATTAATGTTATTATAAAAAAGTAAAGTAGATTGTTATAATTGTTGATTATAATTAGGAGTAGGAAGTGGTGGTTGCCATCAGTGTTGCCAGATTGGGCTACAAGTAGCGAATTGGGCTACTTTTGAGAGCCCCGCGCTCCCAAATTTTTAATTTCGCTACTTGCTACTTTTTGGGCTAATTTAAAAGCAAGTTGGGCTAATTTGGGCTATTACTGTTAAGAATGTATGATTGCGAGTTACATGAAAGTAACTAAGCTATAAATAATTGTAATTAATAATAATTGTAAATATTAATTAATACTAAATAAAATTATTTGCAGGCGATGAGTCACAATAACGTGGCTAAAGTATGAAATCGACTTGAGAATGGAATCCGGCCATCAGGACGGACCGAAACATCGTCGTCCCTTAACATTCTAGTGTGTGGTCTGGTCATAATATTATTTAATAAATTAGTCCTAATTCAATGCAGAGTTTTCTTCCAAGCACAGAAACTTGTAACTATATATACAAGATAATAGATAGATCGATAAATAAATAGACAACTTTCAAGTATTGCACCAAGTAATGGCGAGAGGAAAAAAACTAGACAGTATACATTACATTTGAAATTAATAATGGATGAATGGTAATGAATTGGTGTATGTTTGTAAGTATACCAGACAAAGTCTATTTAATGGCAGAATTTAGCCATTTTGTGTAAAAACTTTTATATCTCATATTATTAATTATGACAGTAATCGAAAAAAGTCATAGTTTGTATATACAAGAGATGAAACAGAGAGCCATAAGCTAGAGCGACGCGCTGAGTCCATAAGGAGGCGGAGCTTCCAGAAATACCTTCCTGTGATTGGCTGTTGCGGGGAATACCAACACTCTTTTTATGAATAAAATTTAAACTAAGAAATAGGTCCTTGTGCACAACAACAAGGTTGTTGTGAAAAAGAACAACAATTTCTGTTTTGCACCTGACAGAACTCTCCATCTAACTGAATAATTTACTCGAATAAGAGGGCAGAGTAGTGTATCATTATTTGTGTCAAGGCAACCCCCAATAATAACGTCACAAGTTAGGTAGCCAGCCCATTTTTATATAACATGTTATATCCTGCAATATTTAACTATCACTTTATTAACACTTCACTTTTTTGGGTAAATTAAAGTTAAAGCAGAATTCCATAAGCAGGACTGGTGGGCTGAACTAAGATGATTTATTAAGTGGATGGAGCCTTTAGCTGATCCCTTCCTGTGATTGGCTGTTGTGTGAATGTCAACAAAGAGTTTCTACCAATGATATGCCACCATTTTATTTATTATGCACCCCATACCATCTTGTGGGCTGAGCTTGGAACCTCCTACCCGAGCATAACAACCCACCTTATGGGTTGCTGTTTGGCTATTTATAGTGCGTTGGAAAAAAAACAGATGGCGTTAGTTGTATTTTGTAGGGTAATTTGTTATAAGTGTAATTTGATGTCAACAGATGGCGTAAGCTGTATCTTATGGCCACTGTTGACCAGCCAGTTGATAGTGTTCTCTTCTGCCGACAGATGGCATCAGCTGTGTTATTATTATTAAAATAATATTATTACATTAATAATAATGTATTATTATTACTTTAAACACCGATCTATACGTCTGGTAGCTTATAATAAGGTTTTATTCCATGCTGGTATTAGGTAACTAGAATTCTGTAATTACTTTTTTTTATCTACTGTTGATCGAGGATATGTAAGACAAATGTAAGGTTTTGAGGCTAAGTAACAAAGATAGTTATACAAGATACGAGCCAGATGGTGTTGAGATTGCAAAAGGGATTATGATAAGAACTTAAGCCAAAAAATCAATGCATAAATATGAGGCTGGGATTTATTTCTCGAAAAGTTAGCAATAAAATACGCTTTCTAGTTCTTTATTTTTAAAATTAAGACCAGGGATTCTGTC